AGAAGAAGAGGCATAAGGGGTAGCAGGAAGAGCTTCAGGTATACAAATTTTGAAGTAGTCTTCTTTGAAATTTTTCCAGTTATCCTCGTATATAGTACACCAACGAAATCTGGGGCGGGCTTTTAAAGAAACCTAATATGGCGAGTACTTCCTTTGTCAATAGCATTCTGGAACACGGAAAATAGACAGAAAAAGACCCGGAAAGAGTAAGTAAACCCAAAATATCGACAGATTATCTCGATGGTATGCAAAAAGCACCAGCTGTTAGGATGAAGTTGAGAAGGGGCGATTTCAAGGTGATTCAAGACGTCCATTTGGAACTCGGTGAAGGGCAGGACTACTTTGAGCTCATAAAATAAGCATTTATACACAAAAAAGAAAGAATTCTCACCTTGCCCAGAGGGAGACAGATACGCTCCTCTTCTCCGGGAACAACAACTCGGAAAGAAGTGATAATAGAATCATGGAACAGAGGTACTGATTGTAAGGAAGCATGGAGAGTACTCGGATGGTTTTCATAAGAAGAATGAAGTCGTAGAGCTTCTTCGTCAACCAATTCTAAACCTTCCATAGTAGAAGGAATTGCGAAGCGAGAAGGGGGAAGCGAACGGTAGGGGCGATTCCTCGGCATGGCCTGGACAGAAAGGCACCAGTAAAATCTAGTTTAGAAGATGTATTGTAAGTTAATATGCTAGCGAAGAACATAGTGGTTATAATTTGGTTCCTAATCCGTCCAGAATCTAACAAGCTAGTAAAGGAGTCCTAAAGAAGGTGAAGGTAAAAAGACAAAAGAAAATTCTTTCAAGTGAGGAAGGTAAGAGAGAATCTAAAGGGTTATTTACAAGGTTTGCTGAGATAATATTCAGAGAAGCATTTATAAAAGTCATGATATCAAACGCGAAAAATATGAAAAATGATGAAAAAAGTATGCAAGAAAGATGGAAAGAACACGGATATCAAAATAGATAAACTTACTTGTATGACGTGCAGGGAAGTAGCAACCAAGAACAACGGCGTCACGACACAGTCAGCAAGAGAAACTTTAAGAAAATGTAGAAGAAATAAAGAACCAGAAAGATGTATGGAAGGAAGAAGAAAGAAGAAGAGGAAGAGAAGAAGAAGATGCAGGGGTTTTGAAAATGGATAATGGGGAAAAAATGAAAGAAGTAATAAAGGGAGGAGTAAAAGTAACCGGCGTTTCGAATTTCAAAACGAAATGATGGGTGTCAGATCACGTCGTTTCAGAAATCAAGGTTAGTAAGAGAAAGACAAGTGGCAATCAGAAGCTGAATAGGCAGGAAGCATTTAATGAGGGTACATATATATTAAAAAGTAATAGAAATCGTGTGGGGGATAAGTTACGAGTTAAACTCGGAGTACAATAGCCATTAAACTCCGAGCTTGGGGGCTTAATGTTCCGGGTTCATACCCCCGGGTACAGCAGGCCGAGGATAACGGCTACAGGGAACTCGAATTGATCCATTATTGGGGGCTGGTTAATTAACCGGGTGAAAGCCCACATATTAGTGTCAGGGTTGTGCCCTACCATGATTCCACGTTAGCACCAATAACCACCCACGTCTATGGTAACCGCCTGAGCAGAGCTATATATATATATGTGGGATAAATGCCTAAGATCAAGTAGACACTAACTAGAGAGAATCCATACTAATGTTCATCCAGAACAGTTCTCTTTTCTTTATTATTACATTGATTACATCGCCCGACTGGTCTAGGATGTACCGTATTATTACTTGGATGTAATTGCTGGTTTTATTTCATCTATTTTTCTATTCTATTAATCAAAGGATTATTATTTCTTATATTATAGAAGATAATTTTATCTCTTATATATTGAAGAATTTAAGTGTGAATGATTAAGTGAAAAAGTCTCATATTAGTTAAGAATGGTCTAAGTAAGCACCATATAAATGGAATGATTCATGCACCTAATGCCTTAAGGTTTTGGGTTTAATTGTGGTGTTTCGAGCCCACTTAATGTTATTACTCACTTGGTCCATGGTTTGCAGTCTCTCCCCGCCATGAGTGCTAGCCTTACAAGCCTTGATGAAGGTTACTACTCACTTGGCTCATATTTGGCGGTCTCTCCACGCCACAAGGCTTCCCGTGCACGACATGTGAGACCTATATTTTCTTTTTTTCTCTTCTCTTCATATGGACCTCACATATTTTTATATATGTATAAAAGATAAAATTATCTCGTATAACATGAGAAATATTAATCTCATTATTCAAAGCACTAAATATTTCTCTGTTTTCTTTTAAATTACCAACCAACATTACATTAACATCATTGTCATTGTAATATCCTACAGGCTATAATGAAGGTGCAGTGTTTAAAAAAAAAAAAAAAGCACCATTATGCAAGATTCAATTTGCAAGTACCTGGTGGTTGAATATGTCAGGAATGTGTAAAGTTTATGCAAGTATGGTTACTCTAAAACGTGTCCTCTCAAGTTAAGGTGGGTCATTCTATGTTACACCTAAGAAATTTTTCCCGGTAACAAAAAAGAAGGTGGTCAAATGTGTCCTCGGAATCCCGCGCGCTTCATAGTTACATCGGTTCTTCACCACTCGTTCTTTTAAATAACATCATTAATGTTAATTAAAGAATTGACATTGAGATGGAAATGGATTTGGTGGGTTTGTATATTAACCTAAGAAACATGGCATGGGCTGTTATGCACATATCATACCAAAATTGATGGCAGAAAGCCCAAACTGATGGCTACGCCTACACCGTCACCTGAAGCTATCATATCTTCAGTTCACCAAGAAAACTCTACGTTCCTATCAGCTAGAAGGCAATTGAGAAGAGCACGTGAAAGAAACCCTTATATAGGCCATTTTTTCTATTTGGAAAGTGCAGTTTATCCACTCAATTAGCACCTAATCAGCATATAGAGAAGCCTTATTTCTTCCAAATTGTTCCGGGGAGACTCCGGGCGTGCACAGCCTAGGTTACATCCGGTCTGGGCCTCCGAGGTTGACACTTCCCTCCGGCCAGGTAACACTTTCCTTCGAAGCTACTCTCTCACTCATGAGTACACCATTTGCATCATAACTAATTAACTACTCTTTTTACCCACGTCATTTTCCCCAAGGGCCTAATATATAGCCAACATTGTATATCTTTGTATAAGAGCATCTGTTTGATCCTTCTTAATATTATCTTTAGGAAGATGAAAGAAGTTTAAAGTCTTAATCCTGTATTTACTCCAAATTTCATTTTAGTCTATAGGAAACTTATAAAATTTTCGAAGGATAATTAAAAAAAAAAAAGTATTCACCGTCTTCATGTATACATATACTCACCCCCGACTCATGGTGTAAATATAATTATTAGCATTTCAGTTATAAGCTATTCTTTGTTCACCTCCGAATGCAAATAAACAAAAAGACAATCACACACACCACGACGCAACGAATGCTTATCTATAAGTTGTAAAATAAGTTAATAAAGCTTGGAAAAGTGACGTGCAAAATAAATCATATTTTACTGAGCCATGGAATTCTGGTGCTAGGAAATAAGCTAGATTTTTTTTTTTTTTAATACGAAATAAGCTAGATTTAAAAAGAAAGAACTCTGAAAGTCCTGATAGTATAAGGCTTGAGGGCTTGTTTAGTGTGACGTATAAGGTCTGATAGTATAAGCTTATATTATACGTTATGACATTTTCAGTTGTTTGGTGTGACCATCGTATAATATAAGCTTATACAACAGGATCCCTTGATACATCAAAACGATGTATAACTTAATCCGGCCTAAATGAGAGAGATAAGGCCTGATAAAAGATTGGTGTATTAACATCATTGACCAGTGACTAGTGTAATTCTAAAAAATTAATATATTATTTTAATATTAATATATTAAAATAAAAATTAATTTTTCAATATATTAATTTTTAAAATATTGAATATTTTTATTTTTACAAAAATTAATTTATGTTTTGGCCACACCGTCAATAAATTTTTATAAAAATTAATATCATATGATATTTTATGAAAAATTATATAAATGCGTGGAAACAAAAAAAGAAAGAATAAAGTAGTAATTCAACACAGTTGTAACCTGTTTGCAACAAACGAACAAAAAAAATACTCGAGGAGACGACCAGCCAAAAGCAAATTCTCTTTAACGCCGTTTTTCAAATGAAACGTAAACCTTGTACTACATTTCAGATTAAAAAAAGAAACATTAATGCAAATCTCCAGTTTAAATTTTAAAAGACACTTTAGGCATGTATTAATTAATCAATAAATAAACAGTATATTCATTATTATTTACATTTCTCATATATTATGATTCTGGCCACTAGGGATGTAGATTTTTTTTTGGTTGCTCAAGATATCTTCTGGTCAAAAATTAATTTTTTTGAGACAGGAGATCACTTGAAATAGATAAATCTCTTTCAACAAAATATTTTATATACACACTATCAAAAATTGAACCTCTATCAACATACATAAGAGATCCAACTACCTACTAATTATGCGGTCTTTGTTGGTTTTTCATCAATATTCATTTGCTCAGCAGGTTTACCTGGACCATTTGATTCCCTGCAGAAGAGAGAGCAACAACATGGCACTAGAAAAATATTTGTGTAGACACCATTTATTATATAAACTGGACAAATTAAACTAGTTTTATATTACGTGATCTAATCTACACACTTATCCTAAACAAGGATTTCAAAAGTCAAGTTAAAAAATGAAGTCAATCAGAAAATAAAAATGTATCACAGCCTGTCATCCAGCACAAGTCTTTCTTTTATTTATTTTGGTAACATAGAAATGAGAATCCTCCCAATACTTAATTTCCAACTTGACATGTTACCATACCGGAACCGGCTAAAGCCAGTTTTGTTCGAGGGTCGTCACTCTCAATATAAGAGCCACCAACATTTACTGAGCTAAGTGAAACCTTAGTAGATTCAGATTCAGCCATTACCGTTGGATCTTTCTTGATCAGACGGACAATGCCGTTCTACCAGTTCAGCTTCGGTAGTCACAAGGATTTCTTGGCGCAAGACACCCGGAAGACCGCTCTGACCGAGTTCATCGGCACATTCATCTTCGTCTTCGCCGGCTCCGGCTCCGGCATCGCCATCAACAAGCTAACCGGAGGCGCCGCCGCCACCCCCACCGTCCTCATCGCCGCCGCCATCGCCCACGCGTTCGCCTACGTCGTTGCCGTCTCCGTCGGCACAAACTTCAACGGCGGCCAAGTCAACCCCGCCGTCACCTTCAGCCTCTTCATCTGTGGCTACATAAACTTCATCCGCGCCGTCTTCTTCTGGCTCGCTCAGCTCGCCGGCTCCCTCTGCGCCTGCTTACTCCTCAAGTTCGCCACCGGCGGAAAGGTACGACCGTTAAAACCGTTACGCTCTCTGTTATTAAATACCGTTAGTTTGTTACAACTCGGATAAGCGAGTTTTGTTACGGTGCGTCGCAGAGTGTTCTGGCTTATGGGCTTTCGGATGGAATGGGAGCGTGGAACGCGGTGGTGTTAGAGATGGCGATGACGTTCGGATTGGTGTACACGGTGTACGCTACTTCTCGTGATCCCAAGGTGAGTACTAATTTAGAAACGATTGCACCGATTTCGATCGGGTTCATGGTTGGAGCGAATATTTTGGTGGGTGGGGCTTTTGATGGGGGATCCATGAACCCGGCTTTATCATTTGGGGCTGCTGTAGTGACCTGGAGCTGGAACAATCATTGGGTCTATTGGGTTGGGCCTCTTTTTGGTGGTACACTTGCTGGGCTTATTTACGAGCTGGCCTTTGTTGTCCCAACCTATCCACGGAGGGACCCATTATATTCATGAGTTAAAAAAAAAAAAAAAATAGAAAAGTGAACGATGATATATTGATTTCTTCTTAAGAATGTTTATTTTGTGTTTCAAGGGTTGTACTTTTGTGATGAATGGTTGGTTCCTGATCTTTAACTGAATCGTAATCATCATGAACCTTCTTGGTTTTCTTTAATTAGTACATTACTACATGCATGTGATATGAAACTTTTTCTTCGGATGCGATTCGAGAGGGTATACTTTCAATGTTTCGGATCAAAATCACGCTTAGGATTGGATCACAATGCATAAACTTCAAATTATAGCATGTGTAGGAAAAAGAATTATGAAACATACGTCAAAATATAACAAAACTAATTGAATAGTTCCAAAACAAGCCAAACCCATTTTCGTTTTCATTGCTTTACTGATAGTGCACGTTTTTTACTATGCATCTTGTACAAGAAACAAAGCATGTGTTACTCTCTGTTTTCTTATATTTATATGAAGACAACAGGTCCAATTTGTGGACGTTGGCCACACATAGATTTGGTCAACCTAATCCCATATACTCATACAATAAAAATTAGAACAATCTAAACAAGAAATAAAATATTTCAAAATTCAAATTATGAAACAAATAACAAGAATAAAATTAGGAAAAAACATTTGTCACTTTTAAGTGATTTTGGTGTATATTTTTAATGACACAAAGGTTTGTGAAAAGAAAATATGACTAGATAATCACATAAGAGGAGGGATGAATTGTGTGTTACTTCTAATTTAAGAAACAATTCAAAAATAAACTTTTTAACATACAACTTTAACTAAAATGAATTCAAACACATTGTAAATCTTTTTCCCAACAGAAAATAGAATTTAAATATTCCAAATAACATCAATTCAGAGACAATTGCAGCGGTATAAAAAATCAATGAGAAAATAGATGAAAATCAATGTTTATATCCATCTTTTACAAGAAATCATGTAAGAACGAATTAGAACATAAAAGTAATGATCATCAACCTTTTTACATATTTAACATAACATATATCAAGAATCAAAACAAAATTAATTGATAGAAATCAAAAGAGATACGGTAAGAAAGAATCACACCACGATATATCTTGGTTCACTCTCCAATCACTTGAGAGCCACGTTCAGACTGAGGTTGATCATTTTTACTATCATCAAGCTTCCAACAGGTGCTTGGAGAAACCTTTTTACAACTAAATTTTTTACAAGTCTATGATCACACCTTGGTCACACTTAACCTAAGTCCTTAGGGTTACTCCAATTGTCTCTTCAACAATTACAACAATTCACTCTTGCTAAACAGACGTAGAGTCACCTCTCTACGTTCAAACAAAAAAGAAAGAACAGAGAAGATTGAAAATGAAAGAGTAATTGAGATTCTTCTCAAGTATATACAAAAGTAAGCCAATATGGGTTCAATTCTGAGATTTCTTTGATTATGAGATTTTCAGTGTTAATTCTTTTGTTACTCATAACAGAAAGTATTCTATTACTTTTTAGGGAGTATTCAAATACTTCTTCAAACCCAGAAAGCATTCGTTTACTGTTTATCAAGTATTCAATTACTTCTCTACCCAGAGAAGTATTTTATCACTTTTTCTCCTTCAACTTCCACTAAAATTTCAACTATTTGTAGGCATTTTTCCTTTAGACAATAAGACATTGATACTGCCACCACCTTTGAACTCGTTTTCCTTATTATTGGTTCTTACTACTAATCCTTTTGGTATTTTTAAATTATATTGCTTCATTTTTACTTTCACAACTAATCATCTTGTCACTATCATTTGGTATTTTTCAATGATGTTACTTCATTATTATTTCTATAACTAATCATCTTTTGTCACCATCATTTGTTGTTTTCCAATTATATTACTTTATTTTGGACTCTTTTCCCTTCATAATTACTCTTATAGCTCATCATTTTATCATCATCCTTTGGTGTTTTTCAATCATATAATTGCATAATTAAAAGAAAGAAAATTAATTCTTTGATGCTATTATCAACTTGATTCATACTCACTATATTTTTTTAATTTCTTTTTTGGTGGATGTTATACATGATTGGATGTACACAACTATTCAACAACATATTTGATATTTGTTTTTTTGCGAAAGTTTATATGTGTGATTTGGTACTAATTGCGTGACTAAAGGCATATGAGAGAAACCACGGAGTTTGGATGAAATACGAAATTACTTTTGTTCTTATTTTTAGAATATAAGCACTACACAAACTACGTAATTGGATTTTACAGATCTCATAAATGAAAGGATTAGGATTTGGCCATAAGAATGAGACGTGCTTGTAACACCCCGTCGGTCGTCGTTGTATTAACTGGCATTATTGTAATATAAGCGGTACACATTGAATTAAATAAGCGGAAGACTTAATTAAAAGTATCACAATAGATTATCATTAACTACATGACTTAATTTTTTCTTTTTAATTTTCTTTTATGTAATCGTCTTACTTTATTTATTATTTTAAACTTTAATTCTATATAGTCCCATAATCATACAAAACTTTATTTAACTTACAAAATCATAAATGTCTCTGCCCGAATATAATAACAAGTATTATTTCTGACAGAAACTACGGACAACATAACGGCTGTAAACTGAATGTTTCTAGGGATACAATCCCATGATTTCTTTACACCTGATAGACAATAATTCAGTACATATTAATTTGTAATTAAAAATACATCTCGGCTTCTATTGTATAAATATATACATAAGTCTCTCCAAGATGTTTATAGTAAAATATATACAGATAGTCTCAAAATAAACATCTATCAGCCTACTACTCCATGCAAGACTTTACTTCCCATGCATAGGTTCCTTGCCTAAGGATCCTTCTCCAGCGGCTACTGTACCTGAAATATATCCCCATAACACGGGGTGAGAATGAACATCAATAAGCTCGGGGTTTATGGAGAAGTCTCCACCCACGATTTCACTTCATGCATTACATGTTAAACATAAAACATAGACCACACCATATAGTCTTTTAATTATTTAATTAAGTATTTTACACAAACACACAAACATATTTACATACAAAATCTTTTACTTTCTTTCTCTGATAATTTAGAGTTCCTTTGATTAATTCAATATTTATTCAGAACTTCTATCAAGATTATCAGCAGCATCATATACTTTAACAATTAGAAAGATTAGAGATTCATGCTAACCGAATTAATTAGAAACTCACTTTAATCAGAATTGCTAAAATGACAACAATCACAATCATCAAAATACATCATAATATCATAAATTTTTGATACACAAAGTATCCGGAACCAAACGAAGACCAGATGTGTCACGGTAATAACTCAATATATTCCACAGAAGTCACCTATAATTCATATGCACGCATCTAGTACGACCAATGTACTCAATGTCCTCGTACGTGGAATTTAGACATTTGTGTGTGTGTGTGTGTGCATATATGTGTGTATGTGTGTGTGTATACATCACCTTTTACTCAAATAGCACCTTTTTATAATTACTTCCTAGGCTTAATTACCTTACGAAAAATTTCTCGAATATCACTCCTTTTATAATTAGTATACTATAAATTATACACTATCCATTAATCCTTGTATCGGATTAATCACAACCTAGTATTTCACATACTAACACCAAATCAAAAGCAGAATATTAAACACTCACAACCCAGAATTTCAATCACGTCACATAATCCCATCAAAACACATAATTTCAAATACAACACATAATTTTATAAATAAATCAAATATAACACTTTTCATACAGATATCAAATAGATCATAACATTTTGCACACAATTATCAAATAAAGCATAACATGTTAATTGCAAATATCAAATCAAACATAACACATTAATCACATTTAATATATTTTACTTAACAACAACATATTAACTCACCGTGCAGTTACTCATAGCATATCAAATACAAATGTCAAATGGAGCGGAATACATTTAACATCAGTAAAATAATTCACCTCGCATTTAGTTACAACAAATCATATACATTTATATTTACTCATACAATAATTCATGACATTATTAATTGCAACATATTGATTTAATTCACATTAGATCATGTAATTTATATTATATTAACTTTATACATATTGATTCTATATGAATACAACTATGTTAAGTCCTAACATTCATAACATTTATTTCAATTAGAAACTATAGCCCACTTGGTTACGGCGGAACAATCATAAATGGAGAAAACTCATAAACCGAGAACTTACTTATAAATCTCCTTACAATTTATTTGTAAACCAAGTTACCCGCACACTCTATGTCCATTACCTCATTTGATTAATAGTCTGGTACAATATATAAAATACCATCAACATGCATTACTTGAAATCCAAGTAACTATCACATCACACGTTAATTCAACTACCAACTAGGTAATTCTCTCAATCACTTTGACCATTCTATTTATCTTGACAGTTTATGTCATACAACAAGTCTTTTCATTTAATTCAACATTTAATAATTTGATCCCGACACTAGTTAGTTTACACCAATTTCAAAACCTAATTATCAAAACATAGCCTTTTAATTAACTATTCATATAGTTAACCTTCTTTATGGGGTTATGAAATATTTCACCAAAAAGTATAAGATTTTACTATCTTAATCTAAACGTCATAAGCTTTCCAACAATGTATCATACACCTTATTTTGACAAGTACAACTCAAGACATCTCCATCGTAAGCAAACTACTTAAACATGTCGTCAAAACAACAGGGTAGCAGACACTTTCTTTATTTCTTGGAATTTTTCCTCACTCATTTTATTCTAAGATTTTATATCAAATACTAGACATCTAGGGCTTTAATTTTATATAAGATTCATCTCATTTGTTAAGGAACAAAGGAGTTATGAATTTTGCAAATTCCAAGTGACAAGCTGCCAACACAGGGCAATTTCGGGTACTGTCCATTCTCACTAAAACTGGGCATGATCTAGCACTCTGAAAAATCCTAT